TAGATATCACTGCACTTGCACGTAGATTATTTTCGGACATGTCTACGCGCATTTTACCTGCGTTTTATTCAGGGACTCCATCAAATATTTTGGAATTCGACTCCCAGGCCCAGACATGTCAAAAAGGTCGGTAGATATATAAGCACATAACTTAAGATGCATACATTTTCGTGAATGTAGGTGTCATATCAGTTGCATTTAGTTATATGTACCTAGCACATCTCATCTATATGCTTTTTTACATGTATGCATGTCTATAGTCTTACAAAGCCGACCTCCCTTTACGCATTTCCTGTCCAGCACAATTCAGGCAATCAAATACATCATAAAAGGAAACATCAAACTCTGGAGTGAGGAAGACAAGATTCAAACCTTCACTTATTGCAAGAATCAAGATACACCCAACCTGATCACGTAGAATGACGAGAACAGAAGGGGTATGGTGAACGCTCCCAAAACATTCTACATGGGGTGAAGGTTTATTATTAGCCATGGGAAATAGCCATGTCAATATTTCACGACATATGTTGAACCCCTTCGTTTATTCATCGACTGTTTCAGCGAGGATGCTATTGAACGTCGTATCGGAGTATTTCCTGTCATCCCGTAATTAAATCAAAGTCAAAGGTCACCAAAAATCCGATAAACCGGAAAATAGGATACAGACAACCCATTGTTCAAGCATTTGCGACCGATCAGCATGAAAGCTTCACCAATCGTATTATTGTTTTTGGTGACCTTTGACCTGACACAACGTTGCCATATTCTGAAAATAATAGGATATCGACCACGTGCATCAATGGTGAACGTTTCATCTTAATTGGTGCAATAGGCTATGAGCATGTGGTTTTCTGCAGCCAATTTAGGTGGTTTGAGGCATTTTTGGTGATCTTTGGCCTTACCCATCGTCATCACGCTTTGAAAGGAACAGGATATCGACTTTGGTGCATCCAGTGGTGAAGGTTTCATGCTGATTGGGCTCATAGGCTTGGAGCATGGGTTTGTCTGCAGCCAATCCTGATGATTTTTAGCCATTTTTGGTGTCCATTGACCAGACCCGAGGTCACCATGTTCTGTAAAGGGCAGGTTATCGACTGTGCACCATCGGTCATCGGTCGGTTGGTAAGGGTGTGATGCCGATCAGTCCCATAAGCTTGTAGCATTGGGTTGTCTGCAAATTAACTTTAGGTGGTTTCGTGCGTTTTCGGTGACCTCTGACAAGAAATAAAGTCGCCACGCCCTGAAAGGGATAGAATATCGTCTAAGGCGCATCGATAAGTAAAGGTTTCAAGCTGGCCGATGCCATTGGCTAGGAGCATGGGGTTGTCTGCAGCCAATTTGAGTGGTTTGGGGCGTTTTGGTGAGCTTCGACCTGATGCAGGGACACTATCTTCTGAAATGGCAAGGATATCAATAATGGCACATCCACTGGTGACAGTTTTAAGCTAGTCGGTCTCCTAGGCGGGAGCGGATCCAGGATTTCGTCAAGGGGGGTGACACGCAATATTGCGGGGCGCCCTGGAGTTTCGGGCCCCCGCTAAAAAAATCCTTGCATTCCGGTCATTTCATTTTAAGACAGATGGTACGTAGCATATGATATTTAATACATTCGTAGCGTATATATGCCTACACACACACACACACACACACACACACACACACACACACACACACACACACACACACACACACATATATATATATATATATATATATATATATATATATATATATATATATATATATATATAGACATAAATAGGGAAACCCATCTTACTGCGCGCAGCTCTATAAAGCTAGCTGTGCTACGTGTGCATAGGCATAGAGGTCATTCATTTTATGGAGACCATGTTAAATCCTGTAATTTGGGACTAAGTGTTTCGGAACAACAGGAGAAGCATTTTTTATAAGTGTTTCGGAACAACATGAAAAATTAACTTGAGTGGGCCGCTGACAGCCATCAAAACCGAGCACGGACTTGATTCCTGCCTAATTTACGGGTGGCCGGCTGGGCGATGTTAATCAGCTGATGACTGATGACTAATGCAGAATGCACAGGCAGGTTAACAGAAAGAGTCTGGGTAGGAGTGAAGAGTCCTCCACAAATTAGATCAAAGAGAAAGACCAATTGATCAAATTAGAAAGACCCTTAGCATCGGATGTCACGGTGCTTTACCTTATAAGAGCTCCAGCAATAGCACAGGGTCTTCCAAGAAAGTGGAAAGAATCCGAGACTAATATAAATGGCCCTGAGTAACTGAGCGTACCCTGGCATCTGGGGCCCCGGGAAAAACGTGAAAGCCTCACGGCCACGTGGGAAGAATCCATGGCGGAAAATGTGCATCGATCAAGAGTGCCCAGACGTCGAAGCAGATTGTGTCCCAACAGCGGCGTTGGGCCCTACAAAAAAGACGCAAAGAGATCAAAGGCAGTGTGGAAAGCTTCCAAGCGATCAGACTGACCCCGCAAGTGAACATATAGGGTCAGGGCAACCAACAGCGTAATGCCTCTGGACAGCGTAATGAGGCCCAGAATGTTAAGCAATACCTTCTTAATCAGTGTAGAAATAACTTCGTCTGCTTATGAGCCCTTTACTTTTGCTAGCAATGGGACCAGGTCGTCTGCAGGCCCAAAAACGTCCAATTTTGCTGTGTTCTTTTGTTAGAATACTGCATCCGTTCGGCGAGTTATGGGCCCCTTTGGAGCCTTTAGATCCCTCGGCATGGTCCAGGGGGAATGGTCCCGTGCCACTTTCCCTTCTGCATTCGCCGCCAGCCCGAGCAGCTTGATAGATGGAGCCCGCCAAGAGCATAAGGACATACATTCAAATACGAAATGCTCACGACACAAGATGTAGGGCTCCGAACAATCGAGTGTGCCCGAGCAGGTTGACATATAGGAGTCCCGTCAAGAGCGTAGGGCCCTTCATTCAACTAGGAAGTACCCAAGACCCAATGTAGAGGGCCCCAAATGATCGAATGTGCCCGAGCAGGTAAACAGAGCTCCCAACAAGAACGTAGGACCTCCATTCAAATGGGAAGCACTCAAGAATCTTTGTAAATGGCCCACGAATGATGGAATGTGCTCGAGCGGCTCATTAGAAGGGGCCGGCAAGAAGGCACGGTCCTCCATTCAAATAAGAAGTACCCGGAACCCAGTGCGAAGGCCCCGAAACATTGAGTATACCCAAGGATATTATCAGATGGCCCGGACAGGAGTGTAGGGCCCCTAAATTCAAACACCAAGACCCAATATACAGGGTCCCCGAACAATCCAGCGTGGCCGAGGAGGCGAACAGATGGATTCGCGGCAAGTGCGTGGGGCCATCCATTCAGATAGGAAGTACCCAGGACATAATGTGGAGGGCCCCTGAGTGATCGAGTGTGCCCGGGTAGGTTAACAGATGGGGGCCCCCGACAAGAAATACCTACGACATGACGTAGAGGGCACGAAATGATGGGGTGCGCCAGAGCGAGTTAACAGACAGGACCCCACAAAAGGGCGGAGGGCCTTCCATTCAAATAGGAAGTACCCAAAACGAGATGAAGAGGTCTTCCAACAATCAAATGGGTCGGAGCATCTTATCAGTAAAGGCCCCGACAAGACCGTACGCCCTCCATTCAAATAAGAGGTATCCAGAACCCAGTGTGGAGGGCCTCCGAAACATGGAGTGTTCCCGACCGGTGTCTCAGATGACCCCGAAAGGAGCACAGGGCCCTAAATTTAAACACCAAGGCCCAGTGGGCAGGGGCCCCCGAACGGTCCATTGTGGCCGAGGAGGCGAACAGAGCCCCCCCCCCCCCCCCCGACAAGTGCCTAGGGCCCCCACTCAAATAAGACGCACCCAGTACCCAATGAAGACGGCGCAAAACGTTCGAATGTGCCCGAACAGGTTGTCAGATACGCCCCTCCACAAGAGTGAAGCCCCCTTCCCCCTTCCATTCAGATAAATACCCAAGACCCAGTTCTGAGGATCCCAGAACGACCGAGTGTGCCTAAGCAGGCTATCAGGTGGGCCCCCAACAAGAGCGTAGGACCCTAAGCAAGTGGTAGAGGATTGGAGGTGCTCTAGACCAATGTAGAAGGCCCCTGGGCATATCGGGAGTGTGTCAGTAAGTTAAAGGAAACCTATGTAAAGGGCCACTGAGCAACCGGAAGTGCCCCGGCAGGTTAAGATATGGGGCCCTGGCTATAGCCCGCAGAGCCCTTCTGGCGAATGGAAGGAATCCGTGGAAGGGCCATTGATTGGCAAGAGTATCCCGGCACGCTAGTAGGAAGGGCCCAGCAACAGTGCAGAGTCCACCGAGCAAATGCAAAGAAATCAAGGGTAACGTGGAATGCTTCTCAACGATGGAAATGGCCATGCAAGGGGGCATGTAGGTCCCCCAGAAACAGCATAGGGACCTTGTACAGTGAAGTGAGGCTTAAAAATCGCAATTCACAGCTTTTCAGGCACTGAATATTTCTTTTACTTCTCGTGGTCGCTTCACTTTCGCTTGCAACGGCTCCTGGTCGCCTAGAAATCCAGAAATGTCCAAGTATATTACGTTTTGTGTTACAAAACTGCACCTGTTCGGCCAGCCATGGCACCCTTGGAGCCAATGCGCTCGTTCGGTGCCCAAGGGCGCCATGGTCCCGTGCCCCCCCCCCCCCCCCCTTGTCTGGATCCGCCCCTGCCTATAGGCTCGAGGCATGGGGTTGTCTGCACCCTCATTTTGGTTCTTTATGTTTGGTGACCTTTGACCTGGCCCAGAGTCACCATGTTCCGGACAGGATACGTTGTCGATCAATTGGCACCGAATGGTGACGGCTTCACGTCGACCAGTGTCATAGGCTCAGAGCAAATGGCTGTCAACAGGTTTGGTCGGCCGGTTAGTCCCTCCCTTACAACTAGATTTCGGGTTGTGACAGATATGGCGCTATTGAAACAAGTAATATCCTGGTCTGCGAGCGGAAGATCTGACGGGATCTGATTCGCCACTTAACCCCGCTAAGTGCGAGTAGTGCCGGGAAGGCAGTCGTGTTGCCCTGTGCCGGGGGAGGGTAACGGCCCGGCATCCGACGTAACCAAGCTTTTACTCACGGTTTTTTTCCACGTATATGCAATACAGTTTTGATCTTGAATGAAGTTCCTTGTTGACCATATATTCCATATTGCCTAGCCTATCAAAGCAAAATTGCGTATGTGTGGTTTTCCTGTGCTTCTCTCTAAAGTGGCCACCAGGCTTACTTAAGATGTGCCGGGGTTTGTGCCGGATTAGTTAAAGAGCTCCACTTGCCTCTCTTAGTGAATAACATAATGTGAAGCCACTAACAAAGACCAGGCACGTCAATTTGGCTCCTTTGCTGGAGGCTCTTGGTGGTACATATAGTCTTGCTTTTGGTGATATGAGGTGTCATGGCTGTCCTTTTCTGATAGCCTGTGGGGATGGAATATTGGGTAGGATTAATATCTGACCTTGAAATGTGAACCAGGGTCACTTGTGGGGACTGGATTAGATTAGATGTGTGTAGAATTACTCCATTTTAGGACAACTCTTAGTAAATTATGCTACCCTCTCATTGCTTGCTTGTAAATTGTGGAAACTAAGGCTCATGCTGTAGATGTAGGTCATATCAATACTGTAATTTTTCAGTTTTCTTTTATTTTGGCACCTATAGAAGATGATTTATGTTTTTGTTATAACATAAGGAACATATGTCAACCTTTACTGATAACATACCAGGTGGTATCATAAATATTAGCAGCTGGGGACCAGAGTACCTAAGCCTCCTGGGGATCCTGTGCGCCCCCTCTGGCTGGAGCTTACATCCTTTTGTTTGAAGTATTTTGCTTCTAAATAATGAGTGTAGCCCTCACAGAGCATCAGCCTAAGCCAAACAGATCAACAGAGATGACACTGGGTCACTCTCCTGGTCTGGCACTCAAACTTCATGGAAAATGCATTTGCAGAAAACATACAGGTGGGAAAGATGATTGTCATTATGGTATAACATTGATAATTCTGTTTCATTTATCTGGCCTTCTAGGACTTTTGCCAATTTCTAATGGGTCATATTTGATGTACCTGTGATGGGGTGGTAGTAGCTCATAGTACAAGCTTTTATAGAATGGGTTCTTGTAGTCTGGGGCAAAACCGGACATGCACCAAAACTGCCTAAATTTTACTCAACCTTGAAAGATTGCATTGTATTAATGCTGCTTGCAAATGCAGCATAAACATTTTGGCTTTAAGTGTTGTGATGTTATGGCACGTTTCAGGACAGATGCTATGACTCGAGCTTGGGCAGTTGTTCCTGCTGCAGGCTGTGGAGAGAGGTTTGGACATGACTGCCCAAAGCAATTCAGCATTGTACAGGTACTTACTAGCACGCTGATATTAATGTCATAAAGTATCACCAATTCATGAAGTCACCAAGGCTGGCTCATATTATTGTGAATATTCTGTGTCAAAAAACATGAAAAGACCTCACAAACTACTAATGTTTTCTTTTTCAGGGCCACACACTGCTCAGCTATACCATATCTGGCCTCCTTGTGTGTGATGACGTTGAGATGGTAATAGTGGTGACGTGCGAGCATGACAGAGTGGGCAGTCTTCCTTCCTGGTGGAGACGTGCTCCCAACTCTGATGGTACAGGTGAATGCCCATTAAGTGAAGAACACAACAGAGCACTGTGTCAAGCGGAGCACGCGGCAGGTCACCGAACAACGGAAAATAAGCATCTCCCAATTGAAGTGCCACCCAGTCAGGCATGTGATCCGAATGCGGTGCAAGGGGAAAGTGAACGGACAGTAGTGGAGGCGTCATCGGAGCTGTTGCATGCCGCGGTTGACCTCCCAGAAAAACGGCAGGGGACAGAGAGCATGGCCTGTCTGCAGCGGAGCGGACCAGTTCCACCGGAGGGTGATCGTAGCGTGGGTCAGCACGTCAGGGCCGATGTGATGCCGGACGCGCAGGACACACTGCGTACCGCTTCCTTGGAGCACAGGGTGCGCTACGTCGCGGGATCCACCAGCCGACATCGCTCCATCAAGTGTGGACTGGACGCCATTCCAGAACTCGGTGAGGAATAACGCATGATTGCAGCACAGATGCGATGACGGTAATAGGTTACGACAGGGATGGATTTGTATCATTATCAATTATTTTTAGTTGTACGTATTTGCGTGCTAATTTCAACAATGTTGCACACGTGATCTTCTCTTTATGTATGTATTAGAGTAAAACGCTGTGAAAGGTTGGTGTAGGTAAGGTAACAGACCGAGCATCTTTGAATGCCAAAATAACTCTGCTTTGACGAAGGCTGGTTGCTGTCACACCTTTCATCCCCCTTTCTCCGCCCATGTGCGTGCGCTCAGCGCAGCTCAGTGTCAGTTCTGCTGCGGTAATCTGTTTCCGATGCATCCGCGCATCACTCGCCCGGCGCCGTCCACACGGCCATCCCCAGCCGTCTGAGTGGGTGTTTGGTGCCGAAGGGCCGGCACCGGACGTGGTGCTGGTGCATGACGGCGTGCGGCCGCTGGTGCCGGCGCAGCTGGTGTCGGCGCTGGTGCGCGCTGCCAGCCACCAGGGCGCCGCCGGACTGGTGCGGCCGCTCGTCTCCACTGTGCTGGAGACGCGCCCGGACGGGCTGCTCGGCCGCGGTCTCGACCGCAGCCAACACCGCGCCAGCGAGACGCCGCAGGCCTTTGCCTACCCGGTCATCACGCGCGCCTACCAGCGTGTGAGTTTGGCTCGGCTCGGTGCGGCGCGCCAGGGTCAGCTATGCCTGTACCTGGCACCGGTGGGTGTAGTCGTGATCAGCCGCCATGTCGTGGGACGGAAGCCGCTGTTTTGTACGGGCCTTCCGTATTGCGTATGCGCTGCAGGACCGAAGGCGCCCGGTGCTCAGATGCATAGTGTCCAACGTGAAGTGCCTAATGTAGCCATCACCTAAGCTGGTGGGGCCGACTGTCAGGCTGCACTGACGCCGCTGCTGTTGCCCGACAGTGCACAGAGCATGAGCTGGACCACGGCACCGAGTGCCTGCAGCTGGTACTGACCCACTGCGGTGTGCACGCCCGACTGCTAGAGGGCACGTCCGACCTCTGGAAGGTCACGTACCGGCGTGACCTGCACGCCTTCCGGGGCGTGGTGGATGGTGAGCGCCTGCGCGCGGACAGTGAAGATTCGGGCGGGGCTTGTCTGCCCTGCGTCAGGAAAACCTGGCGTGGGGCGGGAGAGTGCCGTCCGCTAATGGGCCGATGAGGATTCAGCTCGGAATGGGGAGCCGGTCAGCCGGCTGAGCGCGGTGCTGTTGTGCTCCCTGTGCTGGCGTCTGGCCTGCGCAGATCTCGGCCAGCGTCGCCTCGGGTCCGCGCTTTCGCAGTGCTGGCCACAGAGCTGTTCCCGGCCGTGGTTTGCCTCGAGCGGGCGCAGAGTTCGGCCCCGCAGCGTGTACAGCTAGTGCTGCTTATTGCGCCCCGGGGTGATGTTAGTGGTGCAAACGTCTCCGCTGGTGCGGCGGCCGTGATGGCCACCGAACCACACGTCTGCGCGGCGCGTCCGTCTTCAGTGGCGCCACCCGGCACGCTGACGCCGACGTGCTCTGTTTTCCAGACGAACGCGTGCGTCTGGTCGTGGCGGCGGTAGCCGGCCTGGAGCACGTGCGCGATACGCTCGTGCGCCACCTGACGCCGCGGCTTGCGCACGTTCTGGTAGCGCCGCCAGTGCGACTGGCGCAGCCCTGCTGCGGCTACTCTAGCGCGCTGCTGCTGCAGCGGACCTGGCCGGCGCCAGCGTCGGCCGAGCAGGCGGCGCTGGCGCTGGACCGCCGGCCTGGCTACGTGGTGCAGCTGGCGCTGCGGCCGACGGTGGCGGCGGCCGAGGTCGACTGCACCGCCGCCGCCGACCGATGCCTGCGCCGTGCCGGCAAGTGGCTGTGTCGGGTACAGGCGGCCACGTGGCCGGACGACGGCCGGCGGCTGGCTGCTCTGCTGCTGGCCGTGCTGCTCTCCGAGGAGGGCGCCTTCCACGGCCAGGTGCTCGGCGTCTGAGCGCCCCTCAGCGCTGGCCGGTCGGTCTACTCGGCCACCGCTGCTCTCGGCAAACGCAGTGTGTGTCCTGCCTGTGGCGTATGCTACATCGCGTCTCCACTGATGCAGCCGAGCGCTGCCTTGCCGTGCAGATTTCCCCGTTTAGGTCCGTGACCAACGTGAATGACGACACGCCATAAGACGCGCGACACGGCACGACAAGTGTTTTCCTCGAACGTAGCAGTGCAGCTGAAATCGTGATACCGATAAGGGTGGCGTGCACTACAGGGATTTTAAGGCGCCCGATAGCGTTAAATTGCTCGAATATGCCGTATCTAGTTTTATAGCGAGGTCCTTGACTGCTATATCGCGCAGAGCAAAACAGTCCTAGATCACGGCTGCATGGCTTTGTATATTTATTGTTGTGTATCCTTATCATACAGCACTTTGGAGACCGTTTGAGAGATATCGCAGAGGTATGCGACCTGAGCAATACAAGAGGGCTCATTGCGTTCCGCATGCTTTGAACGCCCCACGTACCGGCATGGTCCTCCCAGATCCTCGCGAACTCCCGCAGACCTGGACACGTCCGCCAGCAGAGTAGGTATGACCCGCTCGCGACCACGCTGTTATTGGCCGTCGCTTGCGCGGCGCCGGATCTGCCAGTTCGCTGTTGTCGTTGGTGTGTCAGTTTGAAGTGCTTGAGCTGGCGTACTTTCGGTGGGTATGCAAGCAGTCGAAACCTGTGGTTTTGTGAGGTGAGTGCCCATTCATTTGTTTCATTGTATCGTCAGAGGTCAGGGACTCCTGCATGCGCAGATATGTTTGTCGATGATCATAGTGGTCCAGGCCAGTATTCGAATTCATTGTAAGGGGCTTGCATGTTTCCAATAAGTTATTGCAGGCCTTCGCATTCAGGTATTAAAAACGCGTTTGGTGACGTTGAAGTACTGCTGGTCGTTGTTTGGGGAAAGTGAAAGCTAGAAACATGGCTCACCTTATCAATGCCGCGAACAAGGTACTGGACAAAATGTTTGCGCTTCGCAATTCTGCGATCAAATGCAATGTAGTCCTGCAAGGGTTCACAAAACTTGGCATGTTCTGAGAAAAATGCTTATCTTTTGGGCAAAATTAAGACGGTATTGTAGGCCTCTTTAAATGACTGGCCTCCATGTAAAACGTTTTGGGGGGAGCAAATGTACCCACGTCACACTAGTGGTGTGAGCATCAAGTATGGTATTTTTGGCGAAAAGTTATAAGCAGAAGCCAGTGTTTTAACTGGAATTTCGCCCAGTAGGGGGCCAAAAACGGGGCATCGGCAGCCTTTTGGGCCTAAGGGGGTTCCTGTTGGCTGTTTGGCGACGCTGGGGTATGGGGACGTTTTTGGGCTTCGAATCCTATTTTGGCGTTTCAGGCAGGAGCATCACTTTGCACACTTTCACACCTTCGGTGGCTCAAGCCCTCCGATCTCCCCCCACCGCACCCCCTCTACCAATGCATACCGGATACCGGCAAAAAAGGAATATTGGACCAACAAAATACGGAAAATGTTCCTGCTCTGCTGGGATATTGGGCACTTCAAGACATTCCTATGCGCTTCGCATTCATTTCCATCGCATGGTACCAGCTCATCCATATGTTGGCCAGTCTGCAAGTATTGGCGGTTTTTTCACGCATCGACGAAAAATGCTCTGCGATAAGTGGCAGCTTGTAGGCATCAGGTGGCGGGTTGAAGAATTAGTCGCAAGAACGCCATTTCTGACATGTCTGCGAAGTTTGCGATTTATTCAGCGATTTATTCAGCGTCGAGTTCCGATTTCTCTTAAAAAAAATGTTAGAGGGTCAAATGTAGCATGAGAACACCAAAAATGACCCTTATTTTGCAATGTCATGTGACCTTCAACGTCAAAAGGTAGGTCAAAGGACGGGAACCTGATACCACCCCAAAATTGCCGGCAGATTTTCAGCTTACAAATGTCAGAATATTCACCACAGAAAGAACTGACGTCTGTCAGGAGGCCCTGCACTTTCAAGGTTACCCGCCAAGGTCAAACACGGGCTCAAAGGACTGGGAACTCGATATCAGCCAAAAATTACCGGCCGATTTGAAAACTGTAAGTATCAAAATATTCGCAAGAGCGAGAGCTAGCGCACGTCAAAAGGTCCTGACATCTCAAGGTCACCTTTCAAGGTCAAAAGCGAGCGTTTAGCCACTGCGCGTCTGGAAAACCAGAGGTACGGGGTTCGATTCCCCGCGGTGCCCGCCCCTCCTGCCACGGTGAGAGAATTTCCATCGTCCACATATAGGTCAAAACTTGGGAAGAGGTTGGCATTAGCAATTTTTCCAAAGACGTTAACGGGCAAGGTGTATTTTAGTCCAGTAGTCCGGCTTAACAAAATATATGATAATCATTTTCTCCTATAGCTTTTCACGTGGCGTAAAACAGCGAGTGGTGCAGACATATATTTCGCAAAACGTATTTCGCCGAACACTGCACGACAACACAAACTTACCGCAGAAGTATTTGAGCACTTTCAGTCTGGCTGCCCAGCAATCTGAAAGTCACTGGGTAGACCTCAGTCCTTCCCAACACGCGAAGGTGGTGCCCGTCTTGACAGTCCTACCTATTTGCAAATGACATGCACGATAACCCCGGCTGTGCCTCCCAAACCGGCTGGCAAAAAGTCGGCTGGGGGCAGAGGGCAGCCGAGGGCCTTCTCCGTGCCACGCGTAACCAGGGAGCTAGAATCGCTTTTGAACTAGGGTGGGAGTAAAACATGCCATCGCAAAAAGCCCGTGCGGGAGTGAAAAAATAAATTCACAAAAGATGGAACTTGTGAGCTCGCGACTAATGCTTCAGCAAACAAAGACATCTATTTCAAGTTGGCATGGACGTAATATCAGGAATCTGACAAAACTATTTCGTTTTTTAACATCTTAGGCCATTAAAGTGAAACAAAATACATTAACACGCGCTCGGGTGTGGGTGGAGAAATTGACCCCCCTAAGGGCTTTTCCCCGAATGGTTTCTGAACGGCGCGGCGTAGCCGCGCCACATTTTACGTAGCTGTAGAAAATTGCATAGCAGATCGTTTGGCATGCAAATTGTACATGTACCTTGCAAGGTCGCTGAGCTATGACAGGTCAAAGTCAGCCCATGGTTTCAGCAAAGACAATTTCTAGGGAATCGTTCAATCTGACACAGCAACGGGGTGTTTGACGAAGATATGCATCACTGAGATGCTTTCTTAGGCACCAGAAATATTGAATGAGCAAATTACGTTGACCTAATGTCAGGTATGATGGTCAGACCAAGGTCAAAACCAGCCTGATTTATTACTCTAGGGCTTGCTGTATGGGATAGCTTGTGGTGCTCATTTCGAATTTATTGACAGCAGAAACCGCATAATACATATTCAGTTGACTTCTTAGAGGTCAGAACAGACCATTGACCAAAGATGACCCGGGTTGAACGTTTTGTTTTAGGAACACGCTGCCTA